GGGGGCAGGGCTGGCGAGCCTCGGGGCTTCCAGCAGGACCTACCTCGGGTGTTGGTGGCCATGTCGGCCACTTTCTGGAAGGCATCGAGGAAGGCGACGGCGGCCAGCACTGTAGTCCTGGGGTGGGAAGAGGGGGACAGGGCTGAGCCATGTCACCCATGAGTGACACGGGCCTCATCGCGGCATCGGTGGCCACTCACCTGAGCTGGGAGTGCAGCTTGGTCGCCTTGGAGTTGAAGTCCTCCCAGATGGGGTAAGAGCTCTGAAAGGAGGGAAGGAGGGAGTGAGGACAACGGAGGCCGTCTTGGCGCCGCTGGTTCCCCCATGCCGGGCAAACCCCTCCGCGCCCAGGCACGTGGGGCTACCAACTGCGGCTGGATGGTAGCCAGGGGTGGCAGCCCAGCAGGGCCCTGCAGACTGTAACGCCGTGTGCCAGGGGCAACACCGTGGCCCTGGGCATACAGAGGGCTGCCCGTGTGGCTTCTCTGATGGCCAATAAGCGGCGGTGTCCGCTGCTGGCGCACGAGTGGGGAAACTGAGGCAGGCGGCGCGGGAGAGCTGTAGCCATCGGCACGGGGAGGGAGCCAGCAGGAGAAGGGAGCCCAATTCCCACTGCCAGCGTCAGATGGTGAAATCCAGGTAAGAAAACCCAAAAAAAGGAGAATAAGAAAAGCTGTTCGGGAGCAAACTGGCTGCTCAGGTCATCTCTGCCCAGCTCTCAGAGCCCCCAGAGCCCTGATGCCGCCAAGAGCCCCCTGCTCCCCATCCCACATCCCAGTGCCCGCCCCGGGCAGCGGCCGAAGCTTTTGGGAGTCCTCAAGAAGCACCCAAGGGCTGAGCGGGGCTGGAGAGCAGGTCGGGGCTCTCAAGTCCTTCATGGGACCGTTGTGGGATCGGAGATGCTGCTCGTTCGCCCCGTGTACAGGGGACAGAGACGGGTGCTGGATAGACCATCCCGATGCCACCTCTGCAAGGTCATCCCGGCAGGACCATCCAGGTGCCACCACGGTGTTGCCGTCCTGGTGAGGCCATCCCAGCAAGGCCAGTCCCAGCGAGGCTAATCCCAGCGCTATCCAAGTGCCACCAGCCCAACAAGGCCATTCCCAGGGAGGACACCCCAGTGCAGTCCAGTGAGGTTGGGCCCAGCGAGAACATTTCTCCGAGGCCGATCCAGGTGCTACCTTGACGAGGCCAATCCTGGCACCACTGCTTTGGTGCCATCCGCGCAAGGCCCTGCTGGCGTTGTGCCCCTTTGGTGGCAACATGTGGGCTGTGCTCCAAGGACAGGGTATGCATTTGCCTCCAGATCCAGATGGCTCCACACTGCCATCTCCCACAGCCCCAGGGGGCAAATTCCTCTGCGATGGACGAGGATGCTCCTCAGGGAGGAGGACCGGGGGACAAGGACGCGCCAAGGTCATGGCTGCACCGACAGGACGAGAGGCCACGGGAATGCAGAGGGCTCCGGCCTGGATCCTCCCAAGGGGAGGCCAATGGATGCCAAAAAGCCGCCAGCGACCGAGTCGTGCGCTTGGCTGCGTGCATCGCTGTCATCCCCTGCAGCCGCCGGGTATTTTCACTCCTGACTGCAATCGGTCGCAAATGAAAGAGGAGGGAGGTCGCCAAAACGTCACTTGTGGGGAGCGAGGGCAGCCCCCAGGCGGGTGCGAAGCCTTCGGCCTCACGCACTCCTTGGTGGGGCAGGCAGTGCGGGGACGCACCCTGTGCTGAGGAGCGCAGTACCCTGGTGCGCCCCTCGCCCCCGCCGGCCCCGGCCACGCGGCACCTCCCCTCCGCGGGAAAACACCCACGGAGCCTTCCTCCCCCTGCCCCGGGCGAAAAATATTTTGATACATATTTATGAAATAAAAATAAATCAGCACAGGTTTTCCCACTGCAGAAAGCCTCGGGTTGGGCTGCGGGGCCGGGGCCGCGGCAGGGAGGCCGGGAGCGCGCGGGATGTGAGCAGTGAGTTGTACTGGGGCTGACAGCACCTTTTTTTATGTATCTTTATTTTTATTTCTGGGCGCTGGAGCCCTGGGACAGCCCCATTCTGGCTGGAGCCCTGGGGCAGCTCCCGCTTGCGCTTCCTCCGGCTCAGCGGGGAATGCAGCAGAGGGACCCCCCCTCCCCACTGAGCATCCTCAGCACCTCCGTCCTCGCCTCCGTTTCAAGGGCACCGGCGGGGGCCAGCGGGCGCCTGCCCGGGACCGTGCTGCTCTTCCCACCCCCCAGTGCCCTGAGCATCCTCGGTCCCTGAGGACGTGGCCCTTTTCCCTCTGCTTCCGGACCAGCTCTCCCGAATCCGCCGCCTCCTCCCTGCTCCTATCTGGGCACCAGGGCCCAGAGCCACCCAGAGATCGCCCGGACGGCGGGTGCCACCCCAGGGTGCAGCACCCACAGCGCCTGGCACCCTGAGCCTCCCTGGACGCGTGTTGCCCTGCGCCCGCCGGTGCCTGGGGGCCAGGAAAACCTTGGATTTTCCCACTGGAGGGCTTTTTTTTCCCGCAGTACTGTGCCGGAACCCTGGTCTGGCATCACATCGCGCCCAGCCGCCCGCCTCTGAAGGGGTTAATCTCCTTCCCGGCTTGGCTTTTATTTTTTTTCTCCCCCTCCCTTGCTCTGGCAATGACAGCATTGTCTGGACTGGCTGCAGCGAGGAGCCGGAGGAAGAAGAGGAGGAGGAGGAGGAGGAGGAGGAGGAAGAGCGCTCTGCCTCCCGGAGCGAATGTGGCCGGGCGCCGGGGAGCCGCGGGGGCGGGCC